CATACACATAAATTTTTAATATATTGATCCATGCCACAAAAAGCTGTATAAATATTTGAATTACACTTGAGTTGAGAAATAAGGTACTTCCTGAACTTTTAAGAAGAATTAAGACTTTATTTAAGTGTAACTTTTTTTTCTCTCTCCATACTGCGCTGCTGCAGGTCTATTAAATTACTGATCTGCCTTTTAAGTCATACATGTTTTTCCTCAACATTTCCTCATAAAGTTGTATAGACCCAGAATCATTTTAAAATTTCCATTCAACACACACAATTTTTTTTTTAAATTTGGCGAACAGAAATGTAAAAGGTAAACTATATACGGGAAACAAATGTTCAACCATGAATAATCAACAATAACTGCAACAAATTATGTATAATTTGGGAATAGTATGCTGGTTTTTATGTATTTAGTGGTGATTATAGCATGAATTTTGGTTTAACAAGAGACAAAGTTTAACATAACATGATCTAATCTCCAATATAAACATAAAAACAAATATACAGCTGCAACATTTACATTTTAAATATTTTGAGTCTAAAAGTGTTTTAAAAATTCCAAATTAAAAAAAAAACAAAAAACAAAACCTGCAAAACTTTCCTTGCAGTCAAGTTGGACAAAGACTTGGGTCAGGATGTATGTTGAGGCATTTGAAAAGGCTTAAATGTTTCTCTGAGTGCAATATCTGTCTAAATTGTTGTTAATATGGATTTCTAGTGTACACACCTAAAAGTTGTCATGTCTTTTTCAGAATAGTAAAGGTATATATTCACTAAAGAAGACTGATAAAACAACAAGCATTGTGTATGAACAAGAGATCAAGTTGGGAGACTTATCCCCTTATGTTGGTGTGTATCTTACAAATGGAGATAGAGCTCTATATTATTATTCAGTAAAGGTAGGAAGCAATACCATGTAACATAATCCTATTCAGTTGTCATATTACCACGGAAGTTGGCCCCAGGATTGAGAATATCACTTACTGTTACATCAGGCACAGTGTATCATTTTTATAGACATTCTGCGATTAGTGACAAATACATAAGTCAATTGGTACATGTCACAAACATTATCATCATTGTACCCTCTTATCACCTTTGATGACGCATTTTAGCATGTCATTATGATAACATGTGTATACACATTTATGAAGACAGATATTTTTCTCTTTTTTTATAGATTTTTTGGCCAATCATGAGTAAGTCCCAATTGTTTGTATGTAAACCATAACAATCTTCTTGTCAGGGTCATGTGCACAATATACAACTAATACACTTAAAAAGAGCTACAGCTGACAGCTACAAATTCATCATGGATACAGTCATATAATTTACAAGTTGACAGTTCTAAAACCTAGAAACAGGTCTGAAGATTAAATACATGCAACAAAATTCAGACCTTTTTTCAAAACATAAATGCACAAACTTCATGCTTGGAAGAATGTCCAGCCAAAACTTCTTTTAACAGTCCAGGTAAATCCTGATAGTTGACAGCAAGCGGCAGTTATTTTAAATCAATGTCAAAAATAAGACAGGCCATGGAGTGATATTTAAAGATTTTGGAAAATGGAACGGTCTGTCTCATTTTTGAGGGACCCAAAGCCCTATGGAACCCTTGGAGACTATCCTTGTAATGCTAAAAACAAGAGGCACATCGGGCCTGCATCACTCACCTTGGTTTTAAAGCCCAGCAATGTTATACATGCCTATATGTTGAGTATTTCAAATATTTCCAAGTTAAAACTCGGTCACTTAACCTGTTTGATGGGACAAGAAACGGATAATTTGTTTTATCATTACCGTCTTACTCATTTGATTCCCAGTAAATGTTTATATGGTTATCCAATTGGTAGCTCACCTATATAAAAAAAAAATACAACGCAGAAATAATGTCCCTTGAGGTGTGCCATACATAAGGGTCAATTCTTATATAACAAATGTATTTATCTCTTGATGACAGGCAATTCAATATATATGTGGTTATAGTGTGGTGATTTCAACTACATTGTATTTCAAAGATATCACCCAAAAATTATGTCCAAAGGGGTGAAGTCACATCCAAGGGCCAGTTCTTACATTGCCATATATGGTGTAGGGGTGGGGATCTGAATTGTTTCCAAATGTATTTCCCATTTTGAGCCCCTCCCTTCCTGCTCTAGGGGGCAGAGATCCACCATTTATATCAAATTGATTCCCCTTCACCAAAACATGATTCAGACAATATTTGGACAAAATCCAATCATTCTTACCGGAGGAGTACAGTTTTTAAACAATTTTTTCTATCTCCCATATTGGCACCGCCCCTCATGCCCCATGGGCCCCAAGATCCACTGTTTATACAAAATTGATTCCTCTTAACCCAAAGATGCTTCAGACCAAAGTTGGGCAAAATCCTTTCATTGCTACAGGAGAAGCAGGATTTTTAAAGGACTTGCACTTCGGGCCAGGTGAACTAAAGACCAGACAGCTTTATTTATATATATTTTTTCCAGAACAAGTTTCAGACTTTTATCCCCTTGCAAAATGAAACTGTGATCACCAGACCTGAACTAAGCTTAACATGTAAGGCTAGCAAGTCAATATTTGTATGTTTACTTCATGCTATCCTCAACTCTACTGTTCTGTGTTAAATATAGCATATTGTTGGAATGTTGGTGTGATAAAAATAATTGTATCTCTTTTTTTTTTCACCCAATGAGAAAAGTACTAACAGATAGATAATGCCTAAGTATATACATATGTCTGAGATGGGTAACAAGTAGCTGGTATAAGGTATCATAAAATGTGTACACAGTAATAGCCTTCTATTTAGCATGGCTGAGATAGGGAAATGTAACAAGAGAAAACATAATTAATGTTATAGGTGGATTCTAGGAGTCTTTTTATGTTGTATGTACATGTAGCAGCAAATTCGCAATGCAGTGAATAAAGATGATTACCTTAAAGTTGTAATTTTTGTATGTTTCAAATTTTTGAAATTTCAAGATCGCATTTCAACCAGAAAATATCTATTTCCTGTGAAAATTTAGTCCAATGTAGGTCATATATTTAATCTATTCACTTAATGATTCTAGGAGACGCTCAAGTAACATATAAGGACATAAAAAAATTAATGATTTAATTAAAAACTGCAAATATGACTATAAAGATACAAATTTTGCTAACTTTGGAGGTAAGCATTGGCCACGCAATGTTACACATATACAAATATAGCCTGATTTGTATGCTTCATAATTCTGCACATTGATAGCAAAAAAAAATAATCCCACAAAATTTTCAAATTTACTCAAGTCAGAAAAAATTCAATCCAGTGAAAAAACTTATTTTTACAGTAATTGCAACTCCTAGTAAAATATATAAGGACTGAAAATAGAAGTAACCTGAAGATGGCTACAGTGATGTCACAATGTAGCCTTAGCTTGGTTGAGGCAATGTCGTTTCATTTATCACTACTTGCTAACATTAAAAGCGATCATATATTTTTCACAATACCTATACAGCACAAGCTCACACCAAGGAACAAAACTGTTTATATTGTTTGTTATTGTTCAGTAAAATAACAAATAAAATTATTATTTCATCAAAAGAAAAGCAATAGATTTTAAAATGATACCAAATTGGAAGTTTGATAAAGGAGGACAGTAGGAACGACAATTGCAACCAATATGAAAAGAGTTCTGCCATAAAAGGTCTGCCATTAAATAAGTCTATATATGACCACAAGACTTTTGAGTCAGAATTTGAAATGTAATGGATCTCTGCAGGATTTCCCACAGGATAAACAGTACTCTAACAAAGATCATAAGAAAAATACTGAGTAAAAATGTGTAATAAGTAAGACCATAAAAATGATATTGACTGATGTTGCAGAGTACCTCTTTCATAACAAAATTCTGGTTTCCTAATTTTCAATTCATCAAAACTTTAAAGTTCTTGTCAAATGTTCAATCACATATAGTATACAGGGTTTTCCATAAGAGCCGGTCGCCGGCCAATTTGACCGGCTACTTTGATCATTTGGCCGCCTACACCAATCCAGTTTCGTAATAATGTTCCGTACACGACTAAACGTACACGGCAGGCCAGCCTCCTACTTTCACTACACAGTCTACTACTAACAAAATTATGGATAACCCTGAGTATATCTATAATTTTCATCACTATTTATAGATTACTAAAACAGATATGTCAAGGCCACAGCTGGTTACTTTTATTTGATTACAATGAAATTATACTCAATAAATATGTAACGTTTACTTCCAGAAAATTTTGTGAGGATATGATTAGCTAACTGGAATTACACCAGCACTCTAACATACAATTATAAATCAAGGCAAGTGACCACACCCATCACCTGTAGTCTGCAACATAATACACACCACAAATTATATCATATATCTTCGATTTAATTCTACTGTCTAACCAAACGATAAAATCAACTCACAAATTTCATGAATATTACAATTACAACACTATTCTTGAGTTAAACCAGAAGAGGTTTGAATGCCTACTGAGAGTCATTGACAAGTTTTTAAATTGCGCAATACTCATAACTCAAAAAAAAATTGCAGTATACATTATTTCTTCTACATATATCATCCCACAGTCAAATTGCTTGAATACAACACCTGAATGTATAATAAATTTGGTAAGTCTTAAATGAACTGAAAATACCATCGAGTTTTGTATAAAACTGTATGTATAACGCCATAACTTTATGTAAAGTGCCTTTAGCAGACATATAGAACTTCGTATTTACGTATTTAAGGGTATAAGACATACACAAGAACATTACAGGTATATCAAGGACCTGTAGGTGTTAAGTACATACCGCTGATTAATATACTATTGTTACCAAGGAAACAAACCTTCTTTAGCTACGCATGGATCTGCAACTTACGTAAACAGAAAAAAATAGTATTGACAAAGTGCATGTTATGTAGGACTTTCACTTATCCGTATATGATGATAATCTTATTACAATGGTCTTAAGCTTACCTGATAGTATTTGTAATGTCCGAGACAGTATTTCTTGAGAATAGTCATAGCGGCCTGTGTATGTTGATGGGGCGACTCCTTCGACATGAGATTCGTCACATCCTCACCCACATGATCCAACAGATAATGTTTCCCACCGGGGTGTCTCTCAACGAAATCGGTTACATCATACACTTTATCATTATTAATTACAATAACCTTTTCCTGTTTAACAAGTTCTTTCACCTCCAAATCACTGTAACACCGCATTCTGTCAACGTCCCTTCATCTAACGAGACAACCGCTTACACGACCACTCCCCAAGGTGAAGGTTGCCGATACAAAAAAAAAGTTAGGGAATACTAATTACAGTCCGATACCACCTTATAGCCAGGTAACATCCGGTATCGCCTGTGAATTATATAATGACAGCGCCGGCTTTTATTATCATTTACGACATTAAATTACCTTATATGCAAATTATATCAACGGCATCAATACTGCAGTAAACAGACAAGGAAAGATATGGCGGGGCATATTTCCAGACGGCTGCAGCTATTTGAAATCATCAACTCGCAATGAATAACGCGCCCTGTATTACTCTTCGTCACATATATAAACACTAATTGCTACCGCTTGGAATTCGAGAGATCGAAATGACACGATCGGATCAGGTATTTACAATGTCTGGATAGCATGGACTGCAACATAATGAGCGAATTAATCTTTCTTTCCTCGTCGAATGGAGATTTTTCTTCTGCAGAAAACACTGACATATATATATCTAATAACACAATAAGATAAAACAACATATTTACATGCAATGGTACAAACATAAATTATAAATTCGTCTACATAATCTTACATATATATACCATGGTATATAAATTGACGTACTAATTGGCTTTCAATATATTTTATTTTATATAAATAGGCATGATTGTTTTGGATATTGTAAGCGTTAGGCTATATCTGACTGCTCATCTTACCTGATTATTACCACAGAGCAAAAAAGATAAATATATCAGAATCAACTTGATCGAAAATTTCTACAGATTCACGAACAGGTAATGTATCCACAATTCTAAAAATTATATTTTATAGTTATAATTATATTCACATTGTTTGGTAATGCCGACATAAATGTAATACGATCCAAGCGCAATGTAATGATCTCCTGGTTTTCATTTTTTCATCTCTTGATTCTTGACAATTACATTTGTGCTTTTGATATCTATAAACTGATATGAAATGCAATCGTTGAAATGGAAGAAAGGGCGGTCCTCGCATTGCAGATAACGCGATTTGTGGCGAATGGTTTTGATATCACCAATTTTCAATGGTTCCTAATTGATATTTTTGTACTTTTTTTTAATGATATTGATGTGGTGAATATCTTTCAAAATGACACGGTCTTAGCGCTACAGAAACGAAAAGAAAAATCCAGAATGTCTCTTTTTTAGTTCCCGGGCGGTACCAGGGAGTACCGGACTGTAGTTATGACACCGTTAAAGTGCGTTCGAGTAGATCCAATCAACGAACAAAACCCCGAGTTACCTCCCTTAGAATACAGCGGATCCCGGAATAATTTCTATATTTTACAACATGATATAAGCGACACACAAGTAGAAGTGGAAAATGTTGTTTGTATATCAGTCACCTACACGTAAACCGGGTTCTACAGGTTTTGCTTTCATCCGTCCATAATTATTTTGATGTAAGAGGTGTTTGGAAGCATAAGTCAATATTTATTTTTCTTTCTTTATTTTTTTGATCTTCACATTTAAGTTTTATAATGATTCGTCGCTCGCTTGATTATGGTGTGAGGTTCTGACATTTTAAGGAAATGTTCTTTATAAATCTTATAATGAAAAAATCGGTCAGATGAAAGTAAACAAAGCGTATGTACTCTCGCTCGGTCAATTTGTTTGTAAACAGACATAATAAAATCATGTTCAATTATCATGCAATATCAAATATTAAAACAAAAACATTTAAATGAACTTACCTCAAGGAGTTACACTCAATATCAATAAATTGTTTCTCTGTGAATCCACAAAATTACAGGGCAAGAACATGAGTAATATCTGGACTTGCGTGTTGCCATCATGGTGTAGATGTTTCGTTACAGACGCTGGTGGAGTGGGATTGTGAAATTGTATTAATTTATTCCAAATTTTGGACATTTTCTTTACATTTATAAAATGGTTGCAATGTAATAGTTCGGTGGACGGTAGGGAACGGCATTTTTTGAGGGGGTTGGTGATAGGGGACATGTTTTGAGGCGGTAGATAGAGAACATGTTTTGATGGGGAGGGTTGGAGGATTGGAGGATTGGAGGAGGGGGTGTGGGTGGGGGTCGGTAGGGGATATGTTTTAGTGGGCGTCGGCGGTAGGGGACATGTTTTGAGAGAGTTAGTAGAAGACTAGTTTTGAGGGTCGACAGGCAACACTAGAAATTTAGGGAGGAAGAGGGACTACTTTAACAGAGACACTTTTTATCAGACATCTGCTTAGTTTGACTATTTACTTTTCGTTTCGTCGTTATGTTTTATTGTGTTTTTATAACGTTTTTTTATCTTGCATTTGCTTCAATAATTTGCCGGTTCATGTTGATACTTCTCTTCGGATGATATCGTATATACCGTAATTGTATACAGTATATGTATCTATGTATTTATAAACCCTGAATAAGATTCAATGTTTTTTAAGTTTATCGATGCACATAATATTAATCCGCTTGTGAAGATTTTACCATGTTGTTTTTATCTAGGTTAGCTATCATAGTTTGTTCTTTCACCGGACCACGACAAATCAGTACGGTCCATGCGTTTTTATTGTTCCAATTTCTATTTCAGCTACTCTAAACACGTGTTCACATGTCTGGAAGGTTAATGACACCTTAATCAGTGTCATGTTCCGGTTCACGCATATACATGATTTTTGGGTTTGTTGAGTGCTATCTATCGATTTAACCTTTGACCTTATTGGAATGCCTCTTTTAAAAGTCTTGATTACCTATTGTTTGTGTATGTGACTATACTAGATTCTATTTCATGACTCCTTTGTGGCACTTCACGACCCTCTATAGTAGATTCGTGAGATCACGAGCGAAAATATAGACCAGTTTTCAAAGACTTTAAATTTCCGTTTTCCACAATGTGTCAGACAAAGAAAAGAGATATATGGCCAGATTGAAAATAATCATATAAACGATGAATAACTGAAGAATGGCAGCTGACTGCTGACCGTTGACCGCTGACCGCGACATTATTTTTCTGGTTCATCAGGGACATTCAGTTACTGAGTCATATAAATATTTAATGTAATTAGATAAACAGTACATATTTTATGTCTGCGATTTTTCACAGACGGGCGTTTTGGGTAAACGGGCAAGGTGTAAAATATGTAAAAATCTGTTGACATTAAATTCAATCACAAAATTATCACGAACTTTTGAATCTTATAGATCGCGTTTTACTGGCTCGCCTAGTTGTTTAACAAAATCTTAAATGGTATAGAGTCATGGTAATAGTCTTACTGAATACTGTTTTCTCGAGAAGTGAAGATAATGACATGCGAAATTTAAAGAACTACAAAGAGCTTTGACCAATCGTGGACACCCTGTTCTAAGACATTTCTAGTCCGAGACATATCCACGACGGACACGTCAACAGTAGGCAGAATCGAACCACGCACCTCGCAGTGTGGTCCTGTCGTATGGTGTTGCATTATAGCAAACAAGGTGCATCAGGAATATCGAAGTACCGCTGGAAATAACGATGGAAAAGTAACCTGTTTCTTTAAAATATGTATTTAAATCCTCATATCCAGTTACGACCAACCATCAAACAGAATGAAGCCGGATGTTCCCGGTGAACTGTGGCGCTCTGTCGTATTCGTAAGAGATACGAAATAAAAAAAAAAAACACGGAAACTCTATACTAACCACGAAGGAGACCCATAACAAAGAACCGAAGCTTTATATCACCCCGGAACAGAGAAACGGAACTCTATACCATCCACGTGGGTGATACAAAACAGAGAAACGGAACACTATACCATCCACGTGGGTGATACAAAACAGAGAAACGGAACACTATACCATCCACGTGGGTGATACAAAATAGAGAAACGGAACTCTATACCATCCACGTGGGTGATACAAAACAGAGAAACGGAACACTATACCATCCACGTGGGTGATACAAAACAGAGAAACGGAACACTATACCATCCACGTGGGTGATACAAAATAGAGAAACGGAACTCTATACCATCCACGTGGATGATACAAAACAGAGAAACGGAACACTATACCATCCACGTGGGTGATACAAAACAGAGAAACGGAACTTAATACCATCCACGTGGGTGATACAAAACAGAGAAACGGAACTCTTTACCACCCCAGTAGGAGACACAAAACAGAGAAATGGAACACTATACCACCCCAGCAGGAGACACAAAACAGAGAAACGGAACTCTATACTATCCATGTTTTCGATACAAAACAGAGAAACGGAACTCTATACCATCCACGTGGGTGATACAAAATAGAGAAACAGAACATTACACCACCCCAGGAGGAGACACAAAACAGAGAAACTGAACATTATACCAACCATGAAGGAATCACAAAACAGAGAAACGGAACACTATACCACCCCAGTAGGAGACACAAAACAGAGAAACGGAACATTATACCAACCATGAAGGAATCACAAAACAGAGAAACGGAACACTATACCACCCCAGTAGGAGACACAAAACAGAGAAACGGAACTTAATACCATCCACGTGGGTGACACAAAACAGAGAAACGGAACACTATATCACACCAGTAGGAGACACAAAACAGAGAAACGGAACACTCTACCACCCAGCAGGAGACACAAAACAGAGAAACGGAGCATTATATCACACCAGTAGGAGACACAAAACAGAGAAACGGAACCTTATATCACACCAGTAGGAGACACAAAACAGAGAAACGGAACTCTATACCATCCACATATTTCATTCAGTTCTATAGTGAAACAGTATTGTAAATGATAGAAGATGATGATTACTTGGAAGGGTTATTTCTATTCGAATAAAATGGTAATTATCTTTTTGTAGCAAAATCTTTCATTGATATAAATATTACAATATAGCGATTCTTTAAGGAAGACCCTTTAAACACGAATTATATACGTTCTGCTAATAACCCGTCCGATTCTGCAAATCGTCCTAGTATAATAAATACTATATGTGAATAAATACAATAT